AAAAAAAAAAAAAAAAAAAAACTGTGGCGCGCTCTGCAGCAGTGCCATACATAGCCAACGCTGGAGAGGTCAACTAAGCAAGCTTAGCAAGTCTGACCCCTCCGTACCCCTCCGTGCCCCATCCTTTGACATAGATGCCCTCGACAAAAGAACATTTCCCCACTGAGAGACTACCAAGCGTGGACCTGGGACGCTCTGTTGTGGCCAATGCCTCCCACGGCGGCATCGAATTCGTTTGACATTCAAAAATAGATTAAGGGAGTTGCTCCTGCTATTTATTTCCCGTCTCAGTCTCTTAACGAAACCGACCACGTGCATTGTACACGGCTGGCAAGGCTTGATCCATGGAATGCTTCCTCTTCTTGCCCTTCTTCTCCTTCTTTCTTTCCCTCATTTCAACCTCCCTGCTCTCCCCCTCCCTCCTCTTATCTCCCTCTTTCCCTCCCACCCTTCCCTCCCTCCATCCCTCCCTTTCCTCCTCACCCACATCAAAAGGACATTTATCATTCACCAACTTCATGAAAACCTATGCTTTTGACAAATGCACTTCCTTGATTATGCAACAAAGGTTCGGATACTTGGTGGGAAATCATGAGTTCACCTCCCTGCTCTCCCCCTCCCTCCTCCTCTTCTCTCCCTCATTTCCCCTCCCTCCCTCCCTCCCTCCCTCCCCTCCCTCCTTACCCCCATCAAAAGGACATTTATCATTCACCAACTTCATGAAAACCTACGCTTTTTTGACAAATGCAGCTGCTTAATTATGCAACAAAGGTTCAGATATTTGTCATACTGATGAGTTAGAAAAAGGCGATTTTGAACACAGGAAAACACAAGGGCGTGTAAAAAAAAAAAAAAAAAAAAAAAAAAAAAAAGGGCGTGTTAGGGCCGCCCGGCCCGGGCAAACAAGGCGATCCGTGCGGTCCGGCTGGTAGCCTGGAATTTAATTTACTTTAATTTAATTTATTTTAATTTAATTTAGTTTAATTTAATTTAGTTTAATTTAATTGTTTAATTTAATTTAGTTTAATTTAATTTTAATTAATGGAATCGGGGAAGGGATCTAAGTGTCTGATAAGCGCAGGCTATACTTCGGGCATTCCCACACTAGACCCTCAAAATCGCAAAATCCCAAAATGAACGCCCAGATCGAGTGCTTGTAAGCAGACGTCTCTTTCTGGCCGCTCATTTTGCGATTTGGAGTTCTTTTTTTTTCTTTTTTCTTTTTTCTATTTTTTTTAATGGCATCAGCCTCAGCTGACGCCTTCCAGCAATTCTCAGCGGCCTTTCGGCCACTGAGGGGGGTTGGAATATAGTTTTCAACCAGCAATAGAGGGCCTACCAGTTTGAGTATGCCCTTACTATACCATCGCCCACTTCGTGGCCTTGGATACATTGTATGTGTCTGAGTAAGCGACTGTCTGAGAAAAAGTGACCGTGCATGAGAAAGCGACTGGGCTGGCCGTTGGCTTTTGTCTTTGGAGGGAAAGAAGAATGCGAAGGACAAGATTAAGGGCGTCGCTTACACCACTGTCGAAACGAAAACGTTCAAGTGCATGTTCCCACAGAAAGCGGAAAGATGCATCCGTTCCTATGAATAAAAACAGATGCATCTCGCCACTTTTTGGGGAACGTGCACTCGTGCGTTTTTTTTCCGTTCCGACAGCGGTGTGCCGAAGCACTAAGGGGCCTTGCTACACTACTCTCCACATGCACAACAGACAAAAAAACTGTGCCGGTGTATCTTTCCATGTTTTATTGGAAGTTTCAGTCTCAAAAATTTTGCACACTTCGCCAATAGCGGTGCGAGTCCCTAACTACCGTCTTCCCCCGAACACAACGCACCCTCATTTTGGCTGTATCTGGCCGGAAATATAACTTGTATACATTCATTTTAAGGGTGCGTTATGTTCGGGGTAGGACGGTAGTCTAAAAGGGCTAAATTGCCATGATTGGATGAGACTGGGTGGGGCCGCTACCCCTCTTTTTCCCTAACACAACGGTCACCATGTCCGTTTTCACTTTTTTCCTTCTTACTAGTAATTTGCCTTGCACTAAACTGGAATTTGAAAAACAAATGGAGGAACAGATCAACGCGCGTGCGCGCGCGCAGGACTGCCGTCAGTTCTGACCATCGAGCTTTTCCCTCGGCTACTCTCCGAACAAATGCGAGAAATGCCGAGTGTACATTTCCGCTAAAACTGGAAAGATACACGCCAACTTCCACATTTGGCGGGGGGCGTGGAGCGGCGCCAGATACCATATCCACTCACACCTAACGAGACCCACTTTCCTGAAACATCATTTGCCGTAATGAGAACTGACCACTGACCATATCCCTTTACCCAACAACAATTAGCACACCACCGTCACTAGATCAATCATATCGAAGAGTCCAAAATTAATTGAAAAAAATAAATAAATAAATAATTGAGCCCCCCGAAAAAAAAGATTAATTGGACAATAAATATGTATTGCTGATGAGGCCCCTTCGGCTCCCGCCATAACTAAGAGCCAACTTTGGAATCGATCAATCCAATCGGCTAATTAGTTGGTGGAATTAGTAATCAACTCTCGGGAACTCGTACGGATCGGTAAATAGCATGCGCTAGAAAGCAATCCCTTGCAGCACTGTTACGTGTCAATCGATCTCTTAAAATGAACCCGTCACACATTATCTAACTGTCTAATCATCAAATCTAATCATCAAATCTAATCATCAAATCTAATCATCAAATCTAATCATAAAATCTAACATCAAATCTAATCATCAAACATTACGAGTAAAATCCTATCTCGTGCAGGATGAGTGACATCGTCGCTGCGGGCCGCGGTAATACCACTGCACCTGACGTTTTGTTGAATTCCGCTGCAGCTCCATGGGAACGCACCTGGGCCGAATCCCCGCCAGATTCATACTGGCTGGGTATTGGGGATGTCATCACGCCCAGGTAACACAAGGGCTGCAGCACCCACCCGCAACATTTGCTGGTCACATTTCACCGAAAGCGGGTGTCCTCCCTTTTCAGTAATAGGTCATCACCATACCGACCATAGGTGAATCAATCAATCAATCAATTAATCCATTCATTTACCGATCTACCACTCAAATTCATTCAGCGCCCCTCAAAAAAGTCAATCTGTCCATCCCTCCAACGATCAATCAATCAATCAATCAATCAATCAATCATTCGACCCATCAATCAGTCAGTCAATCAATCAACCAATCAACCAATCAACCAATCAATCAATCAATCCACCGCAAAGACACATTAAGAAAATGTGCTATGCCTTATCAACCGCGCACTCGATTGACACAAAAACCCATCTCAGTGATGGACTACTGCACGGCAACGCACATTCATAAATAGCCCGGTCTTTGAACGGCCATGCACTTGGATCTGCTTTGCCAATCCCTGTGCCTGCCGTGTATCTAGATACAAACAAAGGGGGTGGGAAACATGGGAGGCAACCAACGGCAGAGTCTCCGACGCGCAAAACGTGGGGAAGCGACCAACAGAAGAGTCTCCGACGTGCAATCCACTCCAATTCGCTACGCCTGTTTTCCTTGCCCTTCAGGTTCAGCAAAATCGGGAAATAGACCAACCTCACTCGAGCAAACAAAGAAGAGGGAGAGAAGAGAGGGAGAGAAGAGGGAGAGGAGAGAAGAGGGAGAGGAGAGAAGAGGGAGAGGAGAGAAAGAGAAGAGAGGAAGAGGAGGGAGAGAGGTGGAAAGAGGAAGCAAGATAGATAGTAAATACGTTGCGAGAGAGAGACAGACAGACAGAGGGAGAGACAGAAAGAAAGGACAGAAAGAAAAAGGAAAAAAAAATCACGGATGTCATTCACTTGAGAGAAGAGGTAAATGGATCGCTAAGGGGTTGTACGCTATATATAATGAAATGGATACTCCGATTGGATATACCCCAAGAACACTCACTCACCGTTATCAAAAGTCTCCTTGTTGCCCATGAGAATAAACAAGCGGCGCAGGAAATCTCGATGCTGCGCAAGCGACTCCGGAAAATAGGGTGAAGTAAAGCAGAGATCGCGAAGAATGGCCAAACACTCATTGCGCAAGAACCATACAGGAGCGGGGAGAACCTCCTCCTCCTCCCGCTCCCGCTGGTTCCCGCGCTCATCGTTCCCGCCATTTTCATTTCCCGCCCTCTGTAATCTCGCTGCCGCCGTCCACATTCGGTCCGAATCTATCAACCGGGGCCTTCTCCGACCTCCCCCCGCTGGCAGAGTACCTACCACCCCTCCTGCTCCCCCTCCTCCTGCTCCCCCTCCTCCTCCTCCTCCTACTGTTGCCGCTCCACTGGTAGTTGACGATGACGTGGCCAAGATCCCGGCCAGACCGACCCTTGTGCTTTGCGAAGCCAGCTGCGCGCCGACTCCAATCTTGCTTCTACCCCCCACAGCATTATTCGCGAACGGACTGTTCAAAACTCTCAGCAACAAAGCGTCCCCGCCAAAGAGCACAAAGGACTCTCGATTAGCTTGATGATGAATGGATGTCAACTCGTTAATCTGACGAGAAATCGTCCTCAGGACAGTTCTGCAGCTCTCCACGTCATTCGATGAGAGATGGGTTTCCAGGTCAATGCAGAGAGCGGCCATTCCGTTGGAGCCGCTCTGAAGACGGCGATAGACATCGCGAGGAAGATTGCGCAGAGACTTGCAGCCGCGGCCGGTGATCTGAGAGCTGAAAAACGAACTCAAGACACGTGGCGACTTGTCATCAACACTGCTCTTCAACTTCATCTTCCCGGCGACGCCAATCCCTCCACCGACGACCCTCGTCGATGCCGACGGAGAGTTATCCATCATCCGCTCACCATCTTCAAACTCCCCGCCAATGGCTTCCTCCGCGATACATTCCTCTCTATCACCATCACCTTCTTCCATCTCTCTCTCTCTCTCTCTCTCTCTCTCTCTCTCTCTCTCTCTCTCTCTCTCTCTCTCTCTCTCTCTCTCTCTGTGTGTGTGTGTGTGTG